AAAAAAAAAAGAGAGAGAAGAAGCAATTATGCTGGAAATTTGAAGGAATGAGAGACACTCATCATAATTAAGAAATATTCGTATTACGGAATTAATTTGTATATTAACGATGACCTAAAAGAAATTCATTCGCAGTGACGGCGTGAAGAAAATTGTTTAAGAACAATGAAAATATATTATTATACATCAATTTCTTATTTTTTTTTCTTTCTAAATTCAATGCAAATAAATATCTCTTATTAGTTTTTACTTAATTCTATAATGGTATAATGAAATCTTCCAAGTTTTGTGAAATTCTTATTATTCATATTACACGCTCATACTCTGAAATTAATCTTCAAAAAAGTTAATTTTATATTTGCAATTACAAGTATATTCTGAGATAATGAAAATTCTAAATGTGTTATTGCTGCATCTATTATTAAGTTGATGTGAATTAGACGAAGATAAAATAAAAATTTAATATCATAAATATTTTTTGCAATGATAGTACGATAGTACGATAAATATTTTCATTTCTTCATAAAATTTACTTTCGCAATGTTCCGTTAATCAGTTCACCTAAGTCATTGAACACAAGCAGAAAATAAATATTATTTCGTAATATATATATATATATATATATATACATATATATATGTATGTATGTATATGTGTGTAAATTAAGCATTTTTCAATAATATCTTGATAAGAAATTCTGGTTATCATAAAATTATCGAGTATCTGCATTATTTTTTATCACCTACGTCCAGTTCATTCGATAGACAACGAATGCGATACTTCAAAGATTCATGATATTCACATAGTCATTCTGTTGATATCAACGATCGATAAACCTGACCTTAGGAAAGAAACTCATTGCACAGATTATTTTCAAAATTAAAAACGAAAAAAAAGAATTATAAAACTTGAAGATAGAAAAGAAAATATGATAAAATATTTGTCGATTGTTCTCGCAATTACTATTATTAGCAATCGAAATTTATACGTATCGTAAAAATGTCGATGGAAAGATTAACTCGATCATAACTTCGGTGAAATTATCACTAGCTTTCTTATCTTTTAATAATTTTGATAATGAAAGTCGTCAGCGGAATCTTTTCTTGTTAAATATAACAATTGAGTCATAGATAAGGTTTAATTAATCACTTCTTTGAACTGACAAAGATATAAACAAGAGGATGCTTAATGTAGGTAACCATATGTTTACCTACGTAAAGATTGCAACGTGTATTATCGAGATACTAAGAATCATAAAAAAAAGTCGAGACGAATTGAAATTGATATTCCCCGCCGCTGTGTTTACTTTCTAATCTCGCCGATTCAGCATCCTTTTGCCGCCGTCGTTCTGCATTTTTGCCGCGCAAGCGCGTCTGAATATTCCAAGATCTAATCGTTTATCTAGATTGCGAGGCGCCAAGACTTGTGCGCAATCGCAAGAAGATAGCGCGCACGTTTATTCATATCCGAACGCGGTATTTTTTCTCTAATATATTGTCATAAGTTTTATTTAATGAAGTTTAATATTTTTTTTCGCATTTTCAAGAAAAGGAATTGTAAATGCATTTTACTTTCTATCGTGAATTTATTTCTTTTGCGGTTATAAAATCAATTTTATTTATTTCGCGATTCTTCGAGGTTATTAAAATTATAATTGAATTTATAATTTTTCACTTAATATATACCGATCGTAAATTATTCGAATTATTTATCGTTAAAATGGCACACAGAATGAGACGATATTTTTCAGAAAGATATCTATCTTCTTTTTAGATTAATAAAATTATATTAATTGTTCGACGATTTGTCGTATTGAAAAAAATAAAATAATAATCAGATAAGAATTCTTTCTACTAATAAACGGACAATGTCTTCTTGAAATCTTATCTATAGTGCTTTTCTAGCACTGATTTTTTTTCCATTCATTAAAAAGTCGATTCATTCATTTCTAAAATGAAGAATAATGTCAAAATGTGTGAATCCTGTTCACGGTTGAATCCATACGTTCGAAGGAACATAAGAGGATCTCGTTTAACTTTTTCAACGGGCGAACAAGTTTTTCGGTCGGGTTCGCACAGCCAGAAAGAAGTCCATCCCAACAGATATTTCCGGCAAACGACCTTGCCCGACTATCGCCGCCAACAGATCAGAGCCCCGTTACGGAATCTCAGTATGCTCGAATTACACGTGAAAAACGAGATGTACAGATGTATTTATTTCACATAAACTCGCGGCATAACGAAATTCATTCGATTCATTTCA